GGACCATTCTGTTGGCAGAAGTAAGGTAGCGGTGGACATGTCCAACTCTTAAAGATGCTGATGCCTCCATTTCAATCAACAAACACATCCTTTCAAATGTCCCCTTGCTCACACTCTCAATCACTGTCAGATTCCTCTTTTGCCTGATGATGTTTCCTGCCCAGCAGGTGCTGATGACTCTCTTGAGATGGAAGATTCTTGGGATGTAGTCAGAAAACACTCTAGCACAAACCTTATTTTGTGATGCCATCCCAGTTCCCACCTTGTTAGCAAGGGCTCTCTTTCTCTGAATTCCTGAGCTACCCATTTCCTTGCACAGCATATCATGGAGTAGGGGACTTCTAACAGAGATCCTTAACTCCAGAGTTGTGACCCTTCTTTTAGTTGCTATGATTAACCCAATTTTTGATGTCCCAAGGCAAAAACTATACAACAAATTGATGCCCCATGGGAAAAAAAAGAGGTGCTTCTAGCTGGTGTCCTCTCTTTAATTTTCAAAACTAACATAAGCATTCTTTTTATATCTTGCAAGAGGTCAATTTTTCTCCTTTCTCTCTACCCTCTGCCAGCTGTACAAGGACATTCCCTCCTTGCAGGTGTTATGATCACATGGTCTAGATTAGAAGTCAGACTCAAGGTTCTAATCTCATCTTGGCACCAATATGCTCCTCTGGTCAAATCTCTCAGAATGACCCTTAATCTAAAAAAGAGAAGATAATTACTCAAGGGCTTGAATGAAACTGAAATACAAATTAAAAAACAATTCACACTGGATACTGAAGCTTGAGGAAGCAAAGTGGTAGTAATTGTTTAACTACTAGGGAGTCACTTCAAACCCCCTTTCTTATTTGTGCTATGCTTTCTGGTGTCTAACCACTTCTCAGTATTGTTTGCTATTAAAGAAACAAAAATCACATATTTACAAATTGAGTTTAAAGATAAGTTTTCTTTAAATAATTAAAATGTTCTTCAGAGAAAATACAAGTTTTAGTACATAGCAATTAAATAAAGCAGAACACTATTGTATTGATTTTTTTGCTACTGCGTTTTAGGACTACAAATACTTGTGGGGTTTTTTTTTCCCCCTATGGTTGTTGACAGTCCATGGTGGGCAGTTCAAACAAAATAGAAAATTTGAGAAGAGTAAAATTTTTGGAGTTAGAGAAATTTTGTTTTTCTTGAAACAAACCTTGAAAACGGGGATTTCCCAAGATTAACGTTAGATCAGAAATGAAAATTCTTTTGCTTGAATAAAATAATAAAAAAAAAAAAACCACTGACCACAAAAATGCAACAAGTTCTGCAGAGTGGAAGTTTCATGATCAGAAATTTTGAACTGATATCTCCCATTGGCTGAAAAAGACCAGAGCAAGACTGGTATGATGGGCAAGCTCACCCAAGAGGAACAAACATGATAGAAAAATGAGAAATGTCGCAACCTGTCTCTATTTTACAGGGTAGGACAGGCCAGTCCTGAGTATACCTCGCTTCAGGTGAAGTTACCGATCCCACGACTTTCTCACAGGACCTGAAATTGTGTGCGGTTTTTGTAAAAGCATCTGTTTGTCCTTTCTTGTACCATTTTGTAGGGTACGGGGGAATGAGAGTGAGCAGAGAGCTCTCCAGAAGGGAAACAACATGTGGGGGCTTGACTCATGTAGGAACTCACCATGTCTTACCCCCATTGGCTTCATTCCCAGCCAGGAGAGTGAAGCTGATGTCAATCCACTGACATTGATTCAAGACCCTCGAAATGGCAGGGCTTCCTGGTGATCGTGCTTTAAAGGGCAGTCTAAACAGAATGTAAAATCTCCATACTAGGACACAACCATTTAGAGTGGCCATTTTCTTCATTTTTGAGGTTGGTTACTTATCATTTTACACTCACCTAGAAAGTGCTGGCCAGAAGGGCTGTGAAAAGATATATGGAGTGGCACTGAGTGAGAGCTGCTTAGTGTTTCACTGGCTTTTCTCTAGACAACCGAAGAAGCACTCTCTGAAGAAGACAGATTAGCACCACCTCTAGATCCTAATTGTAGACATGCATGCGTTCCTATAGTCATTTTTCACATATGAATGACAGCTCTAATTCTATGTGGGTTAAGCAAGTGAAATGCCTCTTCCACCTCCCTTGATTTCAGGACAGACATTCTGTAAATGCAGGCTTTATATGTAAATTCCCACCTCTTGGTTCAGAGCGATCACCTTCCAAAGTTGTGGGAATGGAGGACAGGACTAGACTGGCATTCTTGAACAGACTAAGGAGCATTAGCAGATACCTGTTCAGAACCAGCTTGAGGCTTGGTATTCTGGAGATGGCATTCAAAGTGAATCCATTCAGAGTGAATCCATTAAAAGTTAATTACTTCCTTCTGGGAAGTGAGATACGGTAGGAATATGCAAACAATTGAGAAAAGATCTTGGTAGAATCCAAGCTCCCCTACTTATCAGCACTGAAACCCTCTACAAGTCACTTCTTATATCTTGGCCTCTGTTCTTGAATTTGCAAAAGATGAATAATATCTATGTAACTGTACTGACCTTGAGTTGGTTAATGAGGCTCAAAGCAGTGACTGTATCAACCAGTCTAGAGTAAACTAGTGAGCACTTCACTCACGAGGATGTCAAAGACTATCAGGTCAAGTCCCGTTTTTTGTCAGAGTCCTAACCAAGTGACTTACACACTGAAGGGGGTTGGTTTTCTGATAATCTTTCCTCTCCAGCTGGGCAAGTGTTGAGTTTCTCAGGTTGACCTCTGCTCTGGTTCACCTTCCTCTTAATTTCAAAAGCCCAGCCCATTCATTGTACTTTCAACACAGAATGATGCTTTCATGGGGGAAGCAACATGCCACGAGGTACTTGCTTTCATGCAAAGGTTTCAAAAACCAAAACAAGCCAATCAAAAAGTGAGGCAATGCTTAGTTGGCCACACCCACACCTCCTTACAGAACTGTAGTCTGAGCTGCCTCTTCCAAATGCTGCACCTGCTGGTTACTAGCTAGTGTAGCCTGGGGACAAAGGGCTCCACCTGGCGAAGCCCTGCGTCCCCCACCCCACTGGGGATGCCCATGCCTGCTTCACAGGGGTGAGGCCAGGCCCTGCTGACATCACTTGGCCAGAACCCTGGCTCATAGGAGAGGCTCCAAAGATGTCAACATCCCTTCTTGTCATGACCTTAGATTTTAAATTAAAAGCTGCCTCCTTCTAGAGCAGCAAAGTGTATGCCTATTTTTGGAGAAAATGAGCCCTTGTGCTCTGAAAGCAGGTACCATATCTGAACTTCCCTTCAAAAGAAGCTGGCAGAAGGGCCTCCCGGGGAACAGCACTCTGGTGGGTGCTTACCAGAGTCTCTGTAGGGAAGGAAAGGAAGGCCCCTGTTCCCTCGGGAACCTTGTCCCTGTGGGCTGGTTGGCGCTGTGGCCCACATAGCTTGGTGCTGACATCAGTGCCCGCCTGGCTCCCCCCACAGGACTCCCCCAGAAGAAGATTCCCCCCCCCCCCCGTTCAGTGTGCCTGTGACTATGGTATGGGAGCTGGTCTCCCCTGAGGGGCAGGTTCCCAGTGGGATAGGGGACAGGATGGCCTGGGTGGCTATTCTGCCTTCCCCAAGAAACCTTTTCCAGTTTGAAGCACACCACGAGGGCACATTCCTTCCAGCTTCTCTCCTCAGCAACACCCGACTCTAACCCCGCCCCATCAACCAGGCTCAAACCATGAGAAAACAAACAAGGCTTTGATTCCTTTGTGAGAAAATCAAAGAGCTGCTGAAACTTACTTAAAGGAGAAAGAGACAGAGAGAGAGAGAAAGAGAGAAAGAGAGAGAGAGAAAGGGACAGAGAGAAAGGGAGGGAGAGGGAGAGAGAGAGAGAGACTACTCTCTACCACATACTGTTTACTACTTTCAACAAAGAGACTCAACCAGAAAGAAGAAATCTGGGTTTAGCTTTATTAACTGCCTGGAAATATCTGGTAGCTCTTTCGGCTGTGGCTGCCCAGTGAATGAGGTTTCTGAAATTAGCCTTTTAGAGTCAATCTTCTGAAATTAAAATAAAAAAAAAAAGAGAGAGAGAGAGTGAGAGAGAGAAAAGTCTTTGCAACTCTCTTGCCCTGGAAAAAAAGACGCCTTGCCAAATTCAAATTTTCCTTGGCCAAAGTAACTATTAACAATCAGCCCTTCGATGAGGTTATAAAGAAAATATTTCCCCTTGACTTCGGAGAAAACACCTTTCATGTGACCTCCAAATATGTTACTTATTTGAAAAGCACACAAAATAAACCTGTCTTTTCCTTTTACTCTCTCTCTCTTTTTTTTTTTTTTGCTTACTCCAAAACCGTGTTGCTTAAGGAATTCTACAGCATCAAAAGCCAGCAGGGCCGTTCCCCTTTCGGTAAAAGGGTGACAGGGTGGTGGTCCCACGGGGCTTCCAGAATTAGGGCTGTCCTGGTTACTGAGCTGTCACTTGTCACACAGGTGTGGTCACTATGGAAACTCATCCAGTGGCACAGCCGTGAGGGCTGCACCCTTGCAAACGCACGCCTTCCCTCAGTGAAAACAGTCCTTTCCAAAGAAAGCAGAGGGAAACACCCTCCCAGAAGACAGCACAAATCCCTTTCTATTCAGGTGCTGCCTGCAGAGACACATTTTCATGTTGTGTGACACACAACATGCCACGGCTGTGCCCGACACACAGCCCGAAATCAGGTGGGTCACTGGACCCTCAGAAGGCACACTCTACCCTTGAACAGAACCATTCAGGGGTTCCCATCCACAGCTCCCCAAAACAGTCGCAAGCCCGCGACTCAGCTCTACGGTGAGGCTGCTTTAAGAGGCTAGGGTGCCATTCCAGTGGGCAGAGGGCATGGAGCATGTTGCTGTTTTGAACCCCAGAGAAAACTTCAGCCAAGAGCCCTGCCACAGGGATGCACTGTTCTACGAGGTTACCGGACAATTTCTGTTTAAAAAGAAAAAAAAAAAAAAAAAAGGCCAAGTGGGGACTTACCGATTTGGTCTTCGGGGATCAGCGACTCGATGGGGGGGTCCAGCTCTGAGCTCTGAGCCAAATAGTTCTTCACCTGGGTCATGAACTGCCGGATGGTCTGCAGCATGTCGGTGCTCGACACGTGGCACTCCTTATTCTCCTGCAGAAAACTCACGTAGTCCTGCACCAGGCAGCCAAAATAGGTGCACTTGTCCCGGGACAGCTCCGCGATCCTCCGGACCATGCGCTTCTCGGGCGTCATGAAGGAGCTGAACACGCCGCTCATCTTGCGCAGCTGGGACTTGACGAGCTTGGGCAGCACGAAGGAGCTGTTCCTCTTCTTTTTGGACTTGATGGGGGGGGCCATGGTCTCCTGGTCACTCTCTTCTTCGCAGTCCTCCAGGCTGCTGTTGGTGTCCGCCTCATAGCCGAACAGGGGCATGCTGCGGTCGAACTCCAGCGAGTCGGAGGAGGAAGTGGAAATGCTCATGTCGCTCAGCCTCTGTCTGCCTCCATGCCACGCGGGCCGTGATTCAGGGCCGACGGCCCTTGTGCAATCCCCCGGGGCCTCCGCAGGCGGGGCCCCACCTGGCCTGCCAGCTGTGCGGGGCTCCGGCTCCTCCGGCTCCTCCGGCTCCCGTTCCTGGCCGGGACGAGGCCGGCCACCGGTCAAGGTCTTTGCGCTGCCTTCCGCCTCTAGAAAAGAAGCCTGCTTCTTCAGCCGGGGTGGAGGGATGGGGGTTGGTTTCGTTCCAAGCAGAGCTACGTTCCCATGTTTGTTATGGTTGACTGTTTCTGGCATGCTCGCCTGGGCTTCGGTCCTGGACAGCTGAGGGCTTGTGTGGAGACTATTAATAGCGGGTGGCGGGGGCCTGGGTGGGGGGGACCGAGGCCTCTCGGTGCCATTCGCGTTGGGAGTCCTGGTGCAGGGCCGTTTCAGGCCTCCACTGAGGTCCTGGCTGTGCACTTTCAAGAAAAGAGGATTAATAAAACACAGGGCTCCGTTGGTCTGGCTGCACTCCAGCTCCGAAGGCGTCCTGGTTTTTATAGAATGCACTCCATTTATAAGGCAGAGCTGACGAGAGGCAGGACAAACACCGTCTGAGGAGAGAGGCCTATGGGGAGGTGGAGGGTTTGGGGGTTTGTTGTCAGCTGGAGAGCTCCAAAAATCTGAAAGTCATTATCAGTGAACACAAGAATGTAAATACAGTACTCTCGGGCCATTCCTTCACAAATTAAAAAAAAAAAAAAAACACACTTGCATGACAACACACGTCTTTGAAGGGGGAGGCGCCACACTTGGGTGTTTTGTTTTTCTTTTTCTTTTTTCTTTTTTGCTTTAACAGCATTCCCTTACTGGAAAGGGTAGAAGTGGTGCCAGGCCCAGCTGCGGGCTCCCAGGAAGGCTCCAGGGTCTTTTCACCTTCAAAGCCCTTGAGAAACGGCTTGGCCAACATACAAAGCCAGCCCAGCCTTTGCACAGGTGAGGAAAGGACTGAATTGTTACAGGATAAGGCTGGAGAAGGCCACGGAGCTCCCCAACTTGCTTTACAAAAACAGAGCTTACTCGCAGAGCAAGCCACCCTTTCCAAGCCACTTCTCCTGGAGATGCCCTCCGGAGGACCTGGCAGTTCCCCTTTAATGGGCCGGACCAGCAGCTGGGCCTGGGGATGTTACACAATCTGCTTGGGGTTTTACATGTTCAGCATTAAAACCCCAAAAGGAGGAAAAATACGCACATGGAACCCATCAGCAGAAAAAAAGGACAGCAGACCTATGCAAACACTAAGTGCAAGTTCAACCCTTTATCTTTATCTTAGTGGTTAGCTGCCCACACTCCCTAAATCCGAGCCCTCCTTACCACTATGGCTACACGCACTCAACACTCTGGAGCAGTGCACATTGCTTACTGTAGCTAAACGGACCTATGTCACTTACATATGGGGCTCAGGTTTCCACGCAAATCGTGGGAGACGGAGATGGTGATAACTGTCGTCTGTTGTGATTTCCATTCGGATTAGGTTTATTCTCTCTCTACAGCTTTGCCTTGTTGTGGTTGCCTAAAATGTGTTTCTTTCCTATGGGCCCAAAATGGCTGACCATGGGGGACAGCGGGGAGGCTCTCACTGGGAGCCCTTTGTCCTGTCCTCTCTGTGTTGTAAACACACCTGAGAGTGTCACCTGCTTCCTCTTTCCCTTCCTTTCCTTCTCTCTGGCTCTGTGCTGTCCAAGAGCCACTGCCACAGAGGCATTCAATTTTAAATTTCACTTCATGTCAATCAATTAAATTTAAAAAACAGGCATGCAGTTCGATTACGGGCAAACGTTGAAGTAGTTTTGGAACTAGGGTACGTTACGTGAATGTAGTTTTTCAACTGTAAATTTAATGAAATCTGAATACAGTTCACGTGTTTCTGATGAAAATTTAATGCCCATAGAGAGATGTGCTGTAAGGATAAAACACATGCTGGATTCCAACACTTAGTGTGAAAAAAAAAAAAAGAATGTAAAATATCTCATTAATGCCTTTGAAGTATTGCTTTTATTGCATCAATAATTTTAAAAACATTGCTTCCATGTCGAAATATTTCAGATCTAGTACAAAAAATAAAATAAATCATAAAAATTAATTTCACCCGTGCCTTTTAAATTTTCTTTAATGGGACTACCAGAAAATTTAAAATTACACACTGGCTTGCGTTAAATGCATTTCTCTTGCCCAGTGTAGGTCTTAGTGGAATGGCTCTCACCACCTTTGGGTCTTAGTGCTGCCGCCACTCCTAGACTTTATAAGGCTTAGTACATATAGCTCCCACGAATGTATTTCCTCCCATATGGATTATGGAAGGGGAAGGGACGGACGCTATTAACTTTGACCCCTTGGTGTGGGGCCTATCACATAGCAGACCTCTAGAAACGTTTGTTGGAAGGACAAATAAATGAAGAACAGAGTTGTAGAAAGTGCTGTCTCTTCACAAAATGAATAATGTGTACACTGAAAATTACAAGCTGGGTATGCATTAATTGGGCCTCATTTGCTTCTGGTCAGTGGCCATTAGGACAAGGTATTTTTGTGTTTATCTCCGCAGGACACATACACTGACCTTCAGTCCTTCAGCCCCGGCATGAAGCAGGCACTGCCCACTGACCACAGAACCAGGAGTTCTGTGGCTGGAGGTCGGCTGTGAAAACAGACCTGGTGCTGGTCTTCAAGAGGCCAGCAATCTAGTTGGTTATATTCACTTAAATTCGGGAAATGTCTTAAACTCTCTCCGAAGGCATCTGAAACTCCAGTGCAAGAGATGGCATAGCTTTTCAGCAGGGACATTTATCCTACCCTAGTATTTTTACTAGGAATCCGTTTCCCAATCCCACTACCTAATTACCCATCAGACAGGTCTCAGACAGATGGAGCCATTCTTTTGAAGCAATTGTAGCTTGAGAAAGAGTCTGAATCTGTCCCTAGGCTTCTTATAGGTGCTAGGAGCCCTGGTACTTGCATTTCAGCATCTCAAATTTCCATTCCAATACTATGGCCTTCTTGTTAATCTTTTAGAAGACTGAAGCCCTAAAAATCTAAAGAGAATCTCCCCTTCCAATCTGGGGGAAAAGCTTCCCCTCCCCCCAAAGTTAAACCCACACAAATTCCTCAGGGCAATGGGACAAGGAAGTGAAATTGGGTGAACTGTATGTCCCGATCCATTGTCAACCAACGTCCAAAAGCATGGTGTTGCATTTAGGGGCGTTGGCAAAGGGGCGGGAGAGGGAAGCCAGTGCCCAGCTGATCAGAGTGAAGATGCATGGCAGGATAGGGGACACGGCCCAGGACACCAGGACTGACACTGAACAACCACAGAGGAAGTGAGACAGATGTTACTTGAGATGCCTACATGATCAAATTCCCCAAAGCACAGAAGTGCCGTCAATGCCCATGTGTTCTTCTAGAACAAAACGCGTGCACGTGAGATGTGCTGTGCTGTTTCCCTTTCTGCCAAGCACTGCCTTTCCCCAGTAAGACTCCGCAGAAAGGAAAGATAGGACCCATTACAGAAGTTTGTGTTCCATCAGGACGTGGACTTTTAGGGTAGCTTCAATTCATTGACGGGAGACACTCAGAGATGTCGGGGTTTCCCGGGCCAACAGAGGGCTTACCTCTGAGAGTCAGTTCAGTGTCTGACTTAGAAAAAAGACTCTTAGTATGTTGCGATTCTGGGACCTCACGGCCCTGTGAGCAAGTTTTGCCATGGAGATGGGGATTATTTTTTGATGGAACAGTATATCACCAGCCAACATTAGCTCTGCTCCACAGATCATTTCAGGAGAGAACTGGGCAGGGGCACCCACTTACTTAGTCCCAGCTGGGCTAGTTCTTCAAGCCGAGCCTCAGTCATGGCTGTTGAAATGGCATAAGGCAACTTCAAGGTAAACGGCAGAACGTCCCTGATTTTTCAAAAAAGAGAATATTTGTAATTATGTGTCTTGTTTCTGTCTCTTGTTTGCATTTCATCCTAGAGATGTTTTAGCTTCGATTGCAATGTCCTAAGGAGACACTATATCATACCTAACGAGACCTTGTCTTTACTGGGGACGGAACTGCAAGATTACTATTCTTGCCTCTAGTGACACTGGGGACAGACTGAGAGAGGGGCTGACTGGTTTGGTATCTGTAATGAGGAAAAAATTTCCTCCATGGGGTAGCTGACCTGTATCTAGTATTAATATCAGAATCCCTATGTTGGTGGATCTTACATATATATACATAAAACATTACGTACTAATTTGCCACATGTTCTGAACATGGGCCCCAACTCATTGAGCAGGACGGTGTAATCTTAAACAGAGGTTTATGATCTCATGTCCTTACACACGGCAGATTCTCCACCACTATCTGTCAGTTTTACTCTGACATCTTCCAGCTAGAGCCCACGCATTGGGGGTTATATGCTGGATACAAAACTTCCTCCTGTTTTAAGGTAAAGCTTCTCTATCTGTAATGTACACATGAATCCCTGGGAGTCTTGTTTTACTGCACGCTCTGATTCAGGAGGTCTGGGTGAGGCTGGAGATCCAGCATTTCTGGCATTTCTCACCGCCGATGTTGCTGCTGCTGCCACCCCTGCGCCACGCTCTGAGTAGGGAGGCAAATGGAAAGGACTTCATGCAACAACCCTGGCCCCAAGCAGCATGGCACCATGTGTGCACCAGCAAACACAAGCACCCAACATCATAGACCGACAGGCCCAATAGGAAGAAGCTGAACTGAGCTGGCACTAGGGTCCTTCCACGGCCAGCGAATAGTGCCACCACAAGTACATGCATGGACCACGAACTCTTTCTTTCTCTGAAAGGGCAAAAGCAAACCTAACAAACATCTGCTCATTTTCATATTCAAGGGGGTAGCATTGGTGCCTCCCCACACCCCAGGGCTCACATAATGCCATGCCTGATGATGACAGGGAGAAAGCCTGTTTTGAATAAATGAATGAATGAATATGCAATAACAATGGTGACTTATCCAAAAAGAAATTATTTGTTTCAGTGGTGGTATTGGTCTTACAAAAAAAAGAACTCAGGGGCACCTGGGTGGCTCAGTTGGTTCAGCATTGGACTCTTGGCTCAGGTCATGATCTCAGGGTCTTGGGATCAATCCCTGCATCAGGCTCTGCACTCAGTGGGGAGTCTGCTTGTGGGCTCTCTCTCCCTCTCCCTCTGCCCCTCCCTCTGCTCATGCTCTCTCTCAAATAAATAAATCTTTTTTTTAAAAAAGGAATTTACTCATTCATTCAACAAATGTTTATGATCATCTATGATGTGCCAGACACTGTTGTAGGTACTGATAACAGACAAAAGACCCTGCCTGCCTACAGGGAGTGTCACTCCAGTGAACACCAAAAGACAATGAACAAATATGCAGTTTATAGAACAGGAGAAAGGGATGTGTGCCACAGATTTTAATATATGTGCAAAAGGGGAATAACAAAGAGTATTCAAGAGTGACAGTTGGCCAGAGAGGGCCCCATGAACAGGTAGCATTTGAGTGAAGATTTAAATGGATCAGGGTGCAAACCATGAAAGAAAGAACTTCTTAGGCATAGGAAGCAGCAGGTGCAAAGGCCCTGTGGTGGGAGAGGGTCTGGTATATATGAAGAACAGCAAGGAGGCCATCATGGCTGAGGTGCAGTAAGTGAGGGACAAAATGTAGAGCTTCCACCTGTATTTTGTCTACACAAGAGACCGTGAAAACCTCCACTGAAGAGAATAACTATCCCAAACAACTTGTTTACAGTAAGATTAGGCAACATTCTAAACTGAATCAGATTAAATGTGGATGACTAGAGAATTCTGGAACCCCTGAAGCTGTTGACAATGAATAACAAATGAGTAAGGTCAATGAAAAGAGCAAAACACGAACACAATGTCATTTATCGCATTGCCTCCAATATAGCGTTCACATAAATATTAGGGGGTGGCAGTCAGGAGGCAGCTCTTTCCTGAGCTGTCAATCCTGGGTCACCCTGTTTCCAGGGACCCTTTTGTCTCCCTCCAAATGGTGTGAGCACCTGCTTCTTCTTGTCCACTTGCATCCTTTCTGGATGAAGCAGGCGGAGCCTTGGGGGGGAATGGCAGCGTCTATAATAGTTGTTGTCCCACCGGGGAGAGGCAATGACTCAGATTATAATCTTAAAGGAAGATTAATGGGAAGCAGAACTTTGTAACACCAGAGCATCATATAAATATATGTTTCTACGGCTGCAAAAACTTAATTAAAATCTTCCTTCTTTAGACAATTTGGGGGAAAGCCATATACGACAAAACCAACCTCTGTTTATTTTAAGCCTTTATCTTGCCCAGCGCAGTACCTGGAGCTTAAACGTCACATGGCTGATTTTTCTTAAGGGCACGTATGACAGGAAACCACACCTGTATTTCACTAATGGGTGTTTTTCAGCTTTGATCTACTGGAACATTAGATGTTGCCCATGAGTCCTTTTCCACGGCACCAGCTAAGGGCACAAGGTGGCATCTCCTCACACACACACACACACACACACACACACACACACACACAGAGTCACTTCCCTCTCTCTTTATCCTGTTAAGAAAAGGAGCCCTGATTCTAAAACCTACGTAACGGACAAAATAAAGCTAGCTTAGGTATAAATGTTTCACTCAAGAGTTTTAGGACACACAGAATTTACTTTTGAACCTTTGCTCTGTATGTCATGTTTCTAAAGCGGAAGAGACTAACTCTTGAGTATTTACTACTGCACCAAGCATTGTAACTCACGTTGTACCCACCCAGGCCCCTAGGAAGAAGCTCTGAGGTCCTGCATTCTGTGGGTTAGGAGCACAGGACAGCATAGATGCAGAGGTCTCTGTACCCACCCACAGAGCTGATGTGGAATTAAGTGGGGCCAGGAACCCAGTTACACTGGACCCCAAGGTCCATGGAGGGGTGCTGTACAGTGGCAAGATATGAGCTCTGGCATCATGGCAGGACTGGGTTTAAATCCAATTTCTGCCACATATTAATTAAACAATTGTGGTAAGTGTCCCACTCTCTGAGCCATGGTGTCTTCACGATCTTAATTCCAGGGTTGCCATGAGGATTAGAAATGATATAAATATGGTGTCTAGCACCTATATAGAAAGCCCCTGAAAATACCATTAACCTTAATCAATGGTAATTAAGAACTATTATTTCCTCTAGCTCTTTGCGACTCGAAGTATAATTGCAGAACCAGCAGCATTGGCCTCGTGACCCGGGAGACTGTTGGAAATGCAGACTCGCCAACGCTGCTCTGGACCCCCTGAATGGGAATCTGCATTGTAACAAGATTCCAGGTGACTCTAGTGTGCATAAATCTTTGTGGGGCAGCGCTCTCTAAGGTTGCTGAACTGACAGCGAGCTCCCAGGCATTCGTGGCCAAGGTCTGCATCTCATTTGTGTCCTCAGCCAAACTCTTCAGCTACCTTCCTGATGTGACCAGTCACATGCTGACTGATTCATCAATTCTCTAGCCTAGTGCACCTATGCATATGCATTCCGAGGGGCTGGAGGACACCAGGGCTGACAGCCCAACCACTTTCTCTATGTGAATACATTTACGTACCAGTAACCAACTAGAGCATTTCAAAAATATTGCAGTCAGACTGGGTCAAATCAGGTACTGTTGCCTAAGAACACTGATTCAGGTAAACGAGTAATGTAAAGCATTGGAGGAGAAACAAAAACATGAAGAACTTTTGCCTTTTGTATTTGGAGGGGAAAAAAATAGGAAAACGAATCTCAGGGCTCTCTGATCACAAAATGTCAATGTGGGGATTTTTCCATCAGTACCTTATATTGGCACCATGCTTTGTAGTGTAGGGAAGGCTTTCATGTGCTTTATCTCCTTCAACCATCAAATAGCCCTGGACGTCAGGTTAACCAGCCTCTTGTGAATACTGAGGGGAGAGATGGTATCTTTCGTATACTGTTGCCAAATACTATGTTATAGGCGTAACGATTTTTCACAACAGGACAGCCAACAAGCCAACTCTGCAGAGTAAGCCAACTCCACCTCCAATCAACATGCTAGGTCGAAATTCACTTTTGGGAGCTGGTTGGCCTCCAACCAGAGCAGGTGTGGATTCCTGGAGCCAGTGGGGGCTCCTGCACTGGTTTCTTCTTCTTTCTGGGCGGGAGATATTCACCCTTACACAGGCCAAGAGCTCTTGCCCACTGGGTCCAACTCCTTGGCTTCCTCCCCTGGGTGATCAGCCCTGCAGGTCCCCACTGTAAGTTCCTCCCCACCCTCAGGCCATTGACGGTGTGGTTTTACCTGCGTGGTGACGTCTAGGGGTCAACTGCTCAGTGCCTTCCCCTGGGAGGGTCTAGACCAACAGGTACAACAAACATCTAACTCCATCTTTGAGAATGGACTCGACCCTTAAATTAATATCAAGGAAAGGAACCCCAAACAAGCTTCTCCACTTCAGACTGGGATGGCTGCAAGACATGATCTTTGGAAAGACCCCAGGAGTGTAAGCCTGTCTGTGCTCTATCGGCTGCAACAGGCATAGAGAGAAGCCAAGGGGGCCTGCGTGGAGGTCATGTCGGTCTCTGCAGATGACGACTATGAATTCTGAGTCATCAAAAGAACACTCCACTTGAAAAACTATGATGGCTAGAAAGGAAAGAAACAGGGAGCACCTTCAACGACTCACAGATTCCCCACATTAACATGGAGATTTGGGGCCGAACTACTTGTATTCTAACACAGTTGCATGAGGGCATGGGCACTGAGTGGGCCTGGAGAACAGTGATGCAAGATTATGGGCTGGTTTATGGAGCCCATATTTCCAGCATCCCTTGGAGAGTTTGCAGAAACATTATCAGGGACCTTTAAATGTTAGGGGTCTTCATCGTGGGTCCCTTTATGTGTGTGCCTGTGTGCACATATGTGTACACGTGTGTCTGTTTTCCTACCTGACAGGTCTAGGTGAAAGAAGTCAAGGGCATAGCTTGAAGACATGGGCATATTAATTTGAATGGGCCAGCATAGTATTTTGATACTACCTGGCAGAGGGGACTTGGTGACTGTTTTAATTCATAATCAATCCCTCCAGGGACATCTCCCAGACCCCTCTGCCCAGCTTTCATCCAGAAACCCTGAGGCCATTTACACAGCATGCACTAAGCAGGTGCTTGAGATCGTAAGAGGTGTAGAGTCTTACCTGCTAATGCAATAGAAAGCAATGAGCCGGAATAAATCCGCAAAACTGATTCCTGAGCCTTCCAGGGAAAAGGCTGCAAAAGAGAAGATTTCAGAAACCAGCTGAGTGTCCCGGAGAATTGTTTTGGGAAAGGAAAGGTCCTCTGCTGTTGTTTGCTGCATGTGTAGGACCCTCTCTGTGCTCTCAAACCAGCTGCTATGCAGCTTATCAGAACCAGCTGCAGCGAGGATGTGTGTCACCCAGAAACAGACCAGTAGAGTCCATGGCCTAGAAGTCCAGGCCCTGACTCATGCTCTAGTGCTTGGTAAACAGACCAGCACAGGCACAAATTGCACAACTATCTTCTTCTTTTTTTTTTTTTAATTTAAAAACATGAGGTACTTGGGTGGCTCAGTCCATTGAGCATCTGCCTTTAGCTCAGGTCATGATTCCAGGGTTCTGAGGTTGAGTCCCACATTGGGCTCCCTGCTCAGCAGGGAGTCTGCATCTCTCTCTCCCTCTGCCTGCTGCTCCTCCTGCTTGTGTTCTCTCTCTGTGTCAAATAAAGAAATAAAATCTTAAAAAATAAAATTCAAACACGAAGTTGGGGAAGGGGCAAGGGGCTGGTCAGGCCAGCCTGCAAGGCCATGAGCATACAACAATGCTGGGGAAACACTGAAGCCCCCGCTGCCCTTGACCCTCTTTGGGTAGATTGGTAAACCTACTGGGTCACATTCCTCTTTTCCAAAATAGGCCACCTCTGGTTAAGACACAAAGCCAAAGGAGTACAAAGCTTGGAGAAAAAACACAAGGTTCTAGTAAATTAGCTCTGGGGTAAATTCAGCAGGGAAGATTCTAAAACCCATTTACTTTGAATGCCCCTACCTGCCACCACTAAGTGCACAAGCTTCCCAGTGACCATGAGCTGGCAAGACAGTGAACCATCCTGCACATGTTCCCAAGGGCAGGACAGTGAGGGTTTGACTTTAGATACTTACAAATTTGCCAACCACTCCTCACGCCGTGTCTGCCAAAATGCCACTCAGGCAGTCATCCTTCCAAAAACATTCCAAATAGCCTCAGCCTTGTGAAGATCTCCTCGGTTTCTCAATCAGTTTTTCTCCCTCTTATGACACTCCGAATCCTCACTTACATTGTTTATTATCTGCATATGTTGTTTTATTGCTTATTTAGTATCTCTGTAGCACCCCAAACACACCTATGCCTCTACATATACACCATGACAGACAGACAGAAACAGAAATATGCACATGCACCACAATTTAACTAATTAAGTAGGGGGAAGCTGATGTGGGGGTCGGCTAACCTCTCCTAGCCTTGGTTTTCTCATCTGTACAATGGACAAGAATAGCACTTTCCCTCTCTCTCAGAAAGGTAGGAGTGGAAACTGAAATTTTAAAAACATGGAGTAATTGTATGTAAGTGATGAATCACTAAATTCTACTCCAGAAACCAATATTACACTGTGTGTTAACCAAGTCAAATTTAATTAAAAAAAAAAAAAAGTAAACAAACACCACGATCTGGGCATTAGGTGTACTGGTTGCTACTTTCTCTTAGGTGTCATTTTCTCAGCTGACAGACCAAAGAAATACACGAGTGTACTAACCTATGTAAATACATTTGACTACTGATATTCCCTGCATGTAGCCGTCTGTAGTGATATCAAGAGAAAAATGAGTTCTTACTGATGTCTCCAACACTAATCCTTACCACATGGATCATTCTAGTCTATAACCTCCCCCTCCAACAGTGAGGAACATGGCTCCCACCATCCACCATCATTTACTTCATTGTTCAAGTCCAGTATCCATGTATAGTGGCATCCGAATTGTTAACCTGTTTCCCTGTGGGAGGCCACTTTTAGAACTACCGTATCTTACTCATGTGGTGTTCCTTTTGCCATAATACCATTTAGGCAAGTAAAATCTGTTTATTACCTAAAAAAATAAAATACAATTAAATTAACTTAAGAATGGGGTGAGTCATGTGAAAGCAGTCTATACAAATATGAGCTGGTCTTTACTATTAAACCATATTGTCCAGATGTTATGACAAGGTATCTGTGTTTCTAGAAAGTCCTTCCTTTCTCAATCCACCTCCATTCCCTGGCCAGGAAGGGCCATCATGGTGGGACCAAGACCTGTGGTAACTAGTCACAAGGGAATGCTTTGCTCAGAACAACTTTTTCAACCACGGTAAGTCCTCTGGATGGGAAGAGGGAACTGATACAAATCTTGACACAATACAGAGGAAAAATCTTCAGCCAGGAGGAAGCTAAGATGAACACCAAGAAAGCTTTAAAGTGCAAACACTAACTGTACTTACTGTAGGGGGGCTAGAAGGGGGCTTCCAGGCTAACTTACCACGCTTCACTCTGGATATGAGAAGGGATGTAAAAACCAGTTAGATCTATCACTTCTTGGCTAGCCAACTTCCAAAAGCTACTGCAGCGTTGACTTTCCTCACTTAAATTTTTATCCATTGTCTTTAGAATGGAGGGTTTGCAATCTATCTTGTGATTACCTCCTCGTGCAAATTCACTGGTATGAGCCACACACCAGGGTCACTGACCCTTCGTGGAGGTTTTCCTGGGCATCAGTAACCTTGTGAAGCCTGGAGGAAACACATCACAAGGCCCAGGTTGACAGCTGAACCTGAGGCTGACCTCAAAGAGGCTGGCAGGTTTCACTTCTGCTGGAAATGTCTCCTCTAGACTCCGTGAAGGTTCAGGAGTCTAAAGGAGACCATGAACTCCAGGCTGAGTATAATCCCTTCCCTGCTCTTCAACTGACCTCAGAACCTTCACTTTCTTCAAAAGTGGGGACTGAGGCTTGCTTAGGTGGAAACTGGGGAGCAAGCGAACATCGTGGCCTCAGTCTTGCTATAGAGAGAGTCGCTGGGCCTCCAAACTCACCACTCCTGTCCTTCCCGTCTCAGCTTGTTAACCCATGCTTTCTTTCTTTGTTTTTATTATGTTACATTAGTCACCATACAGTACATCATTAGTTTTTGATGGAGTGTTCCATGATTCATTGTTTGTGTGTAACACCCAGTGCTCCATGTGATACGTGCCCTCCTTAATACCCATCACTGAGCCAACTCATCCCCTCACCCCTCTCCTCTCTAAAACCCTCAGTTTGTTTCTCGGAGTCCATGGTCTCTCATGGTTCATCTCCCGCTCCGATGAAGCCTTCCCCTTTGGGGCACAGAGTCACAGCAGATCCCTTCCCGGAAGCTGCCAATACATCAGCACTATGTGTTCCCTTTTGTATTTAAAACATGGCCTCCTAAGACTTCACATTTTCAGGGATTGCTGAATAGCAGAAAGAAAACCAAAGCCACCTTTCTCCCTTCAAAACTTCTGCCAGCTAATTTATTTTCAGAGGGCTGGATTCTGCCTCTGATGAGGAGCATTTCATAGACAACTGAACAGTGATTGTCTGGAGGGAACATGTCCGCTCAAGGGTAATTCACAAAGATGTGCAGACACATGCCTTCACATGCCATCCCATAAAAAGGCCCAATTGCTACAGCTTTTCCTGTGGGTTAGTCATCAGTAAACCTAGGAACCAAATCCACGCTCTACTTAACTGGGGAGGGGCAAGAAAGCCAACCTGCCATGTGCCAAGCAGTGGGCTGCACACAGGCTGTTTACTTAAACCATTAACAGCTCCCTGATGCTGCCATCACCCCATTATCCTGACAAGAAAACCAAGGCTCCCTGGGTAGGTTACCTGCCCAGTCACCGAGTAAAGTAGTAACTGTGCCAGGACTCAGACTCATGTCTGTCTGTCTTGAAGGGCAAGCTCTGTCCACTTCCACTTGCTTGGGTGACTAGAGGCCCTCCCATCAACCAGGACTTCACCATCCAGTGACCACTTACTGTACGTGCTTTCCTTTATGGCAAATTCCTTGAGAGGGGCTCCAAATTCACAGGGTAGGCGAAGGGAGAGAACCTTCTTCTGCATTTTGGTGGATTTGCGAACCAGGAATATCTAGTGGAGGGGAAAAAAAATCAAGCTTAGGAACTATCTAGAAGGTGAGAAGCTGAGCATGTGATTTCCTGCACACGCGATGTCCATGACTAGAATGCCCTTCATAACTAAACCTCAAGGCTCAACCAGGGACACTCTACTGCCAGCAAAGGGACTCTCAACAAGCATGCCCCAGCTGCCTTCCTTTGATAACTGGCTTCAAAAGAATCCTACTTTCCCTTTGACAGAATCTTCTCCAGGAGACCAATGCTTCCTCAGTCTGCAGAAGCCATTTCAGTTTGGTGATTGTTTTATAGCTCTTGTTATGTGTTCTCTAGCCCACGTCTTCCATGGGTACCGTGGTTGATGAACCCAGATTCTAAACAGGAGTAACATGGCTAAACCCTAGGAGGTGAATTGGGAGTTCACTGGCTAATTTGGCTCATGGGTATATTTATGAGAGAAAATTAAATTTGTGGGGCATCTGAGTGGTTCAGTTGAGCATCTGACTCTTAATTTCAGCCCTGATCATGATCCCGGGGTTGTGGGATCGAGCCCCACATCGGGCTCCATGCTTAGTGGAGTCTGCTTCTCCTGTTCTCCTTCTGCCCCTCCCCCCACACTCTCTCTCTCTCAAATAAACAGATGAATCTTAAAAAGAAAAAAAAAAAAGGAGAGAGAAAGAAAATTAAACTTATTTCTAAGAGTGAAAAAGCAGGTTTTTAAAATTAAAATCAGAGTTTCTACCTTGTCTTAGAAAACAGCATGATATGGCAAAATCAGTTATGGTGAAACAATTGCTGGAGCTAAAAATGGCTGCCCCATTAGGGAGGTAGGGAGGTAATGCTTTGAGGTTCCCCGAAGCCAACACCAAGGCTGCAGGTCCATTTACACCTGACTCACCCCAATTTGTGACAATCTCTCTTCCGGTTCTAATACTGTCTTCAGGTGTGTGCTTTAAGCCAACCCAACTCCCACCGTCCAACTCAAGCCGCCATTCTGACCTCCGACACTGCAGAGGCAACTATGCCCTATAATGCTAGGCACTGCACAACTCCAGGGGGCACCAATTCCCTAGGCTATAAATCAAACGGTGTCCCCTAGATTGTGCAGTGAGACAGCCTGGCTGAGTTCTGGTTCCCTTCTGGATGGAGTACATGGCCCTTCTCCAAGGACCCTATCCTGTCTTGCTTCTCTAACTACTTCTCTATCCCCTGCATTCGGACACGATGCTCTCTGCTCCCTTATTATCATTTCACCTCATCTTCACTCCCCTCCATATGTCCAGTCAGTATCTCCCAAGAAAATTCTTCTGGGTGGAGGTGGGAGGGCGGCTGTGGGGATTGGGTGTCTGCTGAGAGGGAATTAGGAAGACCTTTGAGTTCTCTCTTCTCTCCCAGCAGTCACAGCGAGGCAGCCATGGGATAGAATACATCTAATAGCCAGTTCTGGGAGTCAGTGCTTCTGGGACACCCTAAAACTGAAACAGAGATTTCAAACACTATCCCTATGGGTAGAAAAGCCCAAAGCCCTGCTGGGAGCCAGGGGTTGGTTGGCGGAGTAGAAGTTTCATTCCTTTGTGCAGGTGGGGGTCTCCCTGAAACCGGGGGGTCAGGGGGAGTAAAGTCTCATTTCCTGAATGTCTGCAGCTTTTTAGAACAGAGATTGTTAAAGTCGGGCCTGTAGACCAAATCTATCCTGCGGCCTGTTTTTATACATAAAGCTTTATTGAAACAAAGCCACACTCCTTCACTTACATGCTGTCTGTGGTTGCAGCTGCACTATGAGGCAGAGCTGAGAGGTTCTGACAGATTCTATGGCCCACAAAGCCAAAAATATTTACACTTTGGCCTTTTACAGAAAGTCTGCCGATTCTTGTCCTAGGATGGAGAGGATTAAGGACCCACGATACCATGGCAGGACTTTGAAATCTTCCTTCCTCTCACACCTGCTTTTCCTTCTCTGCAGCATTGTTGCTTCCGGTGCACTCTGGCCTATTCCGACCCATGCTGCTGCTCCCTTCCTCCACCTGCCCTCCGCCTGCCCTCAGCTTGCCCTACCTTGTCAGGCAGGTCTGTCCAGGGATCAAGTAGGTAGACAGACGGAACATTCTGCCTGACTTGTTCCCCACAGGTCTCAGCAGGAATGGACGCGCCACATGGAAGCGCCAGGACGCTTCCCCTGGAGGGAAGCCAGGAAGGGAAGGGAACTGTTGCTTAGCAACAGGGTGACCTCCCTCTTCAGAACGTTTGTGCAGAAATGCAGGAGCAGACAACTTGACCTCCAAAAAGTGGGGGCCCCATAGACATGGGTCCTGATCATACAGACCCAGACTAGAGCCAACGACCTGGCATGTTGGCCAAGGAATTTTCCACAAAGATGATCAAATAGTGCACCTAGTCACCCTGAGCATGTTCCAACATTAGTCTCAGTCCCGTCTGTTTCTGTCTGATGAGAAACAAAGACTCACTTATAAGTCAAAAAATGATAACAGAGAGGCTCTGGCTGATAGGAAACTCAAGAAAGTTTATTCTTGTGCCCAATTGCCACAACATTCTCAGCTGGCTATGATGGAGGATCCCCGCCCCCCTTTACTCCCTTCCTTCTCCATTTTTTCTTAGTTTCTATCTCTTGTCATGAGTTGTTCCGAGTCTCACTTTATCTGTGATTTATTGTATTTATCCTTTCTTGGGAAGTAGATATGGTGCATAAGCACTGTCCAACTTCCTGCGTTGGAAACATTTTATACTCCACACCATCATCCTATGGGGTAGCCTCCAGCTGTCTGTGGCTAGTGAGCACTTCAAATGTGGCTAGTGCAACTGAGGAGCTGAATTTCTAATTTAATTTAATTAATGCAAATTTAAATAGCCACACAGGGCAAGTGCCTACCATACTGAACAGCACAGGACACCAACCACTGAATGACATTTTTTGAGGAACCTCTATAGAGTCGTGGAGTGGTCTTGATTAAGAGACTGGTGTTGGGTAGACAGTAGCTGAAGAAACGTAACTGGGCCGTGAGCCCGGTGGAAAGTCACTGAGGAAACCCAAGAGAAACAAGATTACATCAGCAACCAGAGCAGACAAGCCTATGGACACAGAACTTTGGAACTTTTGAAGTCCCAAGTTGGATGGCTAAGCCCTGTCAGGGATTCCAGGCTCAGAATGAAAACAATAGGGGCAGCTGAGGACCCCAAAACCAGGTTCATCCTCAGTGTTGAGGCCCAAGAAGTTAGCCCAGGGCCTCCAGCCAGGGGCCTTCCTCATTACCCAGATGCTCTGTCACCCTGCCCAGTCCTGGACCTCCCTCTGTAACTGAGTCGATGAAGACAGAAAGACAAATTGTTAAGGGCTCTTTTCCTCAGGGCTGCCTCCATACATCCCACAATCCCCTTGCACTGTGACCCAGGTGCACACTGGAAGGCTTGCTCCCTACAGCCTAGGAAGAACTTTCTGGAACTCCAGGTCTTTCTCTTGAAGAAAGCAGCAGCCCTGCCTGTTTCAACCTGTTTCCCTGAGATTCTGAGTCTTACCCCTGGAGGCTGGGACTGGAGGATTTGTGCTGCTTCCTCCTCACTCAGACTCAGCTGCAGCCATATTGGGTGGGTGTGGAGAAGCCGGTCCAAAATGCTGAGCCTGTTGGAGAGGCTATCATAGCCAGAGTCCCGCGGACAGGTCTTCATATCCTTTTCTTCAGAATAGCCATCATCCTTGTGTCTTACCATGCTAGGAGAAAGAGAATTGGCAGGGGTCAAATGGCCACAGCCCCATTTCTCTGACAAGGAGACCGTCCTACAGTCTCTAGGCTTGACCTGTCCTAGCACATACTCCCTCTTTCATTCCCACCTCACTTGTCTTCCCCTCTAGCCTGAAAGCTTTCTGGGGGAAGGCGTCATATCAGCTCTCACTCCATATCTATACCATTAAACAGAATATTTGACAGACCCAACAGACCTTCTATTTCTAACCCAGTTTTCAAAAGGTTCTAAACATTCTGAATGCTGTCGAGTCTGTCTTCTGGCATAAACCATTTCACAATTTGAGCACAGAGCCCTAAATGCTATGTTCCATAGGGTAGCATGCGGTTCTAGGGCTCCAAAGCATATATCATGGGCACCACCATGGCATGCTCAAAAAGTGAAACAAAACATTCACACTCATTCATGCACACCCATTTTGTACCCACATAAACTGGATTTCATTTCTTTCCACACATCGAGGCACTTTTGTTACTACCATTATTTGTAATAAAACCTCACAGTTGAATAACGCTGTGCTATTTATAAAATCATACTAACATGAGTTCATTATTGCCATAAAGTGGAAACAGCCCAAACTTCCATCACCTAATGAATGGACAAATAAAATGTGGTCTACCCATACAATGGAATTTTATTCAGTCATAATATTCATTCATTCTGTTTATGAATGGAGTACTGATCCACACTCCAAAATGGCATGAACTGTGACAACTTCATGCTAAGTGGAAGCAGCTAGACACAAATATTGTGTGATTCCACTTATACAAAATATTTAAACTAGACACCAAGAGAGAAACAGATTAGTGGTTGCTGGGACTGGGGGCAGGGGCGGGATGGGTACTGGTTGCTAATCAGGATAGAATTCCTTTTTGAGGTAAAGAGAACGTTCTGGATGGAGACGTGGTGATGGTTGTACAACTCTGTGAATGTGCTGAAAAACACTGAATTATACAGTTTAAGTAAGGTATGCTGTGTGAATGACATCTCAATTAAAAAACGTCTTATTGGGGCGCCTGGGTGGCTCAGTGGGTTAAAGCCTCTGCCTTTGGCTCAGGTCATGATCTCAGGGTCCTGGGATCGAGCCCCTCATCGGGCTCTCTGCTCAGCAGGGAGCCTGCTTCCTCCTCTCTCTCTGCCTACTTGTGATCTCCGTCTGTCAAATAAATAAATAAAATCTTTAAAAAAAAAAGTAAAAAAAAAAGTCCTATGGATTTCCATAGCTGCCTTTGGTGCCAAAACTAACCTTGTGACTGAGTATGCAATTCCCTTTTTATGAATGAGAAAACTGGGGCCCAAGAAGGTATCGGGCTGCCCAGAATTATAAACACTCATGAAATGGCAGACCTAGAAATTCAAGAGGTCTGGTGTTCCTCCAACTCTGCAGGTAACAAGTAAGATCATGAACACAGGCGAGCTTGTATCTATGTGCTGTCTGTTGTGTGCCAGGCCCTTGGCAAACATTCTCTCATTTCCTTGAAAACAGCCCCCAAAGGCAGGTATCAGGAATCCAGTGTTTAAAAAAAAAAAAGCAGGGTGGGTACGGTGGACCGGGAAGCCCAGACTGCTTAAGTAACTTGCTCAAGGCAAAGACATGCCTCTGGTAAGAGTGAGCAGGTAGGAATTCCAACCCAAGAGTGCTTGGTTCTGGTGTCTCTATCCCTCTCCCATGCCCTGGGTCTCAGTGAGCTGGTCATCTATCCCCGTCTTGGAGTGGCCAGTGAAAAACATCAGATCTGATCACTCCCCTTTGAAGGGGCAAGTTCAGCTTAGGGTTCTAATGGTTTTCAAACATCTAAACCCCAAGAAACCCAAATGTGTGGCCTGAATGAAGTTTTCAACATTGCGAATGATGATAAAGACAAACGGTAGCAAGAGTGGGAAAAATGTAAAAAAAAAAAAAAAAAAAAAAAAAAAAGGTGTGCTCTTCCCCTGTGTACCACTCTACTCCTAAGAGGTAGGACTGAATACAGAAGAAGCCAACCTAAGGCGATCAATCGTTTTGGGGGAAGCAGGCTCAGTATCAACTCCCACAAGGATAAGTGCACTGGCTGGCCAGAGACTCCCATCCCGACGTCTTCCCTGCACATTCTTGACTTTGTACAGACCTGAAGAATCTCATGCTTCCATTCAAGATTTACATTTGTTTCCCCTTAAAGTTTACCTTTTGCTACCACTTTCCAGATGGGAGCCTCTGAGCCAAAAAAGAGCAGTTTCTCCTTCTGCAAATGCCCCCCCGCCCCCCGCCCCCTGCCCCGGGCCTCCAGGTATTCTGAAGTGAATCTTTGCAGCTATAAGAACGCACTCTTCAAAACGAAGCTGCTGTTAAAATTCCTTTCCCATGAGGCAAACGAGGCAACTTGAGAGCAGTGATTCTCAACGCTGGCTGCCCATAAAAACTGCCTGGAGCTTAAACATGTTTTGATGGCCAGACTGCACCCTAGATCAAATAAATCAGACACTTTTTGGGGAAGGATGCAGGCATCAGAATTTTACAAATTTCCCCAGGCAATTCCAACTTGCAGCCAAGTTTACAACTACGGCCTTGGATTGGTGCTTGAGCCAAACAGAGAAATCTCCTGGGGTTTGTTAAGCTGCAGATTCCTGGTTTCAGCCCCAGAGGGTCTGATTCCGCAGTCCTGGGGTGGGGCCCTGCATTTCTAACAAGCTCCAGGAGATGCTGATGCAGCAGTCTGGGGAGCGTTTGCTTAAGATCGAAGAGCAAAATGTGCTCTTGAACTCAGAACCAATGAGGTGGGGTGGTTTTTTGCAAGGGGGTGGTGCACGGTGGTAACATGCCCCGGAAAGAATTCTCCAGACCTAAGTAAACCCTCCATTCCTGCCATCTCAGCCTGGTGCTATTTTACCAAGAGCAAATTTTACCATCTCTAACACACCAATCCTAACATTCACGTGGGCGGTGATTAATATGTGGACACTTCTTCCTTCCTGAGACGGGCACATCCTTGAACAACCTCAGCTGTTCAAGAGGTAAAGAGTCTTTGTCCTGACAACCAGCCTCAGCCTAAAAAGCCCGGGCCCAGACAGGAAGACAGTGAATGAGATTCATGGGGCTTCATCAAGGAGCAACCATAAATTAGATCTTGTCTTTGCAAATGACTAAGCTAATGCATTTCTTTCACCATCAGACATTTGAGGTTGGTAGTATATTATTATAAGATAGGTTGAAAGAAAGAATGAAAAAAGATTGGCTTGTCTTAGAGACAACCTTCAGGAAAGAACGAAAGAGGGAAATGAATCTGTATTGGACGCTGTTGGTGCCCTGCCCAGTTCCCGTTTACTAGACTGGGGACCTGTGCCCCGCTGCCGTGGGTGCTGGCTGCCCCCTTGTCCTGCACATACCCGGAAAGTTCTGTGCTCCCCTGGGAGCAGATGCACTAATGACATACTGAGACAGGACATAGAGAAACGGCCTTCTTGCCTGAAGGTGAGACAACCCCGGGGTGCCAGTCATGTGGCAGAATTCCCTGTGGGATCAGGCTGAGGTTACCCTCCAGCTGCCCCCGGATCTCTGCCTGGTTTCCTACTCATCCCAGATGGCCCTGCTCACCCCTTCCCAGGCTGCTCCTGAGACCCTATCTCAGTAAATCACAGCACAGGGCTCTGCATCGAGGGAATTCAACCTAAAACAGAAGCTGATGAGAATAATAGAAATCAGTGATTCTTTAAACAGATGTCTGCTGCATATATGTGGGGAGGGGCAAAGAATGACTGGTTTATAAAAGATAAGTCGTTGTGATATAATTCAGGAGGTTCTAATGATGACATGGTCATGGGAGGCCGGCCACTATGTGAGCCCCACCTCCCCCTTTGAGCTTCGCCTTTCTAATCTGCACGGGGTACAGAACCCCTCCAGCATGGTGTAGAACTGATATAAGCAAGAATGCTGAGTGGGTGCTAATCATCAGCAGGGGAAAGGTTTTGAGGGAATAGAACATTCACAGTCTTCAAATCTCTGCCCACAGATGACTTATCAGGAAGAGGAAAGGTACCCTGACAACACAGAAATCTGTGAGACGCCATCTTGTTATTTTTTAAAGATTTTATTTATTAACTTGAGAGAGAGCAAACTAGAGACAGAGGAGAGAGAGAGAGAGAAGCAGACTCCCTGCCAAGCAGGGAGCCTGATGTGGGGCTTGATCCCAGGACCCTGAGATCATGACCTGAGCCGAAGGCAGACATTGAACCCACTGAGCCACCCAGTTGTCCCTGTGAGAGACCATCTGAACCATGTCATTAGCATCAACCCCTCCAATAATCAGGCGCCCGGTATCATGTCCCCCTAATATTTGCTCTGAGAAGGTCATAATAACATCTAGGTCATCTTCCTGCCCCCAAACATGTTTAACCTGAACCTACACAAGAAAAAACAACCAGAGAAATCCAAATTCAGGGACTTTCTGCAAAACCACTGGCCTGAACTCCTCAAAATATCAATGTCATGAAAAATTTTTAAACGGCTGTGGGATTATTATAGATAAAAGGAGAATAAAGAGATGTAAGAGAGGTAACTCCACTGAGTGCACGGAATTGATCACATGTGGCATCAGAATAAGGACAACTGGGGATATTCAATAAGGGCATATAACAGATAATATTGTATTAATGTTTAATTTCCTGAGTGTAGTACTGTTATTTATGTAGGAAAATGCTTTTGTCCTTAAGAGATGCAAACTGAAGAATTTAGGGCCAAAGTGTGAAAATGTTGGAAAGTAAATGTCAAATGGTCAGCCTCCCGTTCCCCTCCAAAAAAAGGTGGGGGAGGCTGTTGTGGACATAGCTGCTATGAACATGGGGGTGCATGTGCCCCTTCTTTTCACTACATCTGTATCTTTGGGGTAAATACCCAGTAGTGAAATTGCTGGGTCATAGGGTAGCTCCTATTCTTAACATCCCGAGGAACCTCCACACTTTTTCGGAGTGGAGGGACATGGGGGTAACAGGTTG